AGAAGGAGGCTGTGATCTTGAAACTGTGAGAAACATCATTCAAGGAAGGCAATTACCTGCTGATCTGAGGGCCAAAGTCTGGAAGGTAAATATGAGCTTAAGAAGCAGGAAGTACTTGAAGTTGTGTTTGATTTGAGGTAAATGATTTAATTACCAGGCATCTCTACAGAAGAGTAGTACTGGGATTTTAATACACGTGTATGTTGATTCACGTTTAGAGTATTCCTCTTTCTTGAGTTAAATTACTGAGTTCAGTAATTGCATAACTACAAAAGGACACTAAAATGTTAGAGGGTTTTCTGTTTTTGTTTTCAGATTGCACTTAATGTTGTAGGAAAGGGGGACAGCCTAGCATCCTGGGATGGCTCTTTAGACCTGCATGAACAGAGTATAATTCATAAGGATTGCCAAGAGCTAATTGGTAAGTTCAATTACATTTAGATCGCTTATGTGAAAGCTTCTGTATTCTCAGTTGTCTTAGGGTTTTGTTATTTGGATTAAATAACCTGAATTACATTTACATTTTGGAGGAGGCTTTGAGGAGGAAGATGAGAGAGCAGAGAAAATGAGTAAGAAATAATAAGAAAACAGTAGTATCTTATCTGTATTCTTGACCCTGGGATGGGTGACATCATGGAAGTTTAAAGTATTAGCTTGTAAATGATAGATTGCAGGGTTGGAAAGCTTCAGGAGCTGAAAAAGTTGACGTTTTTTTCCAAACTCTGTCTTTTAAACCAGACATTCTTTCTATAGTGTCCTTCCAAGTTTTTAATTGTGTAATGACTGATTCTTAGTTCTAAAAGCTGATGTAGCACCAAAATGCATTTAACCTTTAAGAGAAGAAAATATTAAACATTTTGGACTTTAAAGACTGTTTTTAAGAAGGGTATTTTTTTAATAGCATTTTCAGCAAAAATGAAAGGTGGTGTTTGTGAAAGCAAGATTCTTCCAGGACGTTGGAAATAATATTCCAGTATGTCTGTAAGGAGCTGCCACAAGATCTAGTTGTCAGCTCATTGCAAAAATGGCCAAATCCCTGACACTATGCAACAGCATTAATATTGGTGATCAGATGATGGAGTCAATGCTGACTCATAAATTAGAATACTACTTCTTGTGTCATCAACAAGAGACTCTTCTATTTAACCCATCATGCTTTAATTTGTTCTTGCACAATTGAAAGTTAAGGATGAGAATGTAGTTATTGCATGCATACGTACCTACCACTTTTAAAATGCAGTTCTACATTTTCTAGCTCTAAAATCTAGTAGGGCGCTTTTTCCTACTCTCTTTGTCCCGCAGAGGAAAGGAGGGGAAAAATTTCTACTGTGTTATTTAGTCACAGTGTCTTTTCAGGAGAGATGGCAAAACACCCCAATTAGTATTCATAACAAAAAAAAAAAAAGGCACTTCAATGTCTGTTAGTTCTCATTTTGTCTTTATTGGCAAATGTTTTGTAATATGTAAAAATATTAAACTGATTAGAGTAACAGATGTAAAGTTAGTTCAGAATGAAGGTTATATAGAGATTGCAGTTTTGGGTTGGATTAAATCTGTTTCAATGTTTTAGCAGAGCAAGTAGTCTCCAAATTTAAAGTAAATCTACAGATGGCATTTGATTTTTATGTACTGTTTAATTTTCCTGAGAGGTAGAAGAAAGGAAATGCCAAATATTGACTGGCTTTGATGGGAAAGTATTAAAGATTTCTGTAATAAAAACTTTATTAACTGTAATGAGGCTCATGGGCTGCTTGTAATTGAGAGGGAAAAATGTTCACTAGAAATTTAATGCCACTGCATTAATGTAGTGTGTAGGCATCTCTTGCTTCCATCCCAGATGTAAGAATATTATTCCTTCTTTTATTGTAAGTCATTTAGCTACAGCAGAATTGACATAATCTGGATAGATTAAAATAAAAATATATATGTAATATATAATTTGTGCATATATTTAATATTTGAGTTTTCATTTTAAAAAATCTCGAGAGGTGTTAATATTAAAATTAAAAATTGTATGAACTTACATTAAAGTCTCGTTTCACTACAATCTGTGTAATAAATACTGGTATATTTAACTGTAAGTAAGCAAAGTAGTTCTTTCATCACATGGAGGAAGGCATAATTTGGGGTATGGTACTGACAGGCTTCAGTATGTCTTAGATTCATTGCCTCAGGTGAGGTGGATGCCAGTGCTTTTCCTGAGGTGTTGTCAGCCTTTTAAGAGTCTATGCAGAAAGATGCTTTGGAACTAATGAAAATCTAAGCTTTGTGTATATATCCAATTCAATAATGACAGTATTTAAGAAGTGTTTAGCTTGCTACCTTAATTATAGAACTGGTTTTGTACCATTTTTTTGAGGCAGTTTTCGTGCAAATGCAATAATGTAAGTTATGGATTCATAATTTGTTTGTCATTAAATACTTTAAGTACTTTTTGGTACCTTACAACATTTGTTAAGAGTTTGAAACAATATACTACATTATGTCAAAGTTTTATGTTCATGGTTAGTGTATCTTTTGATTAGCAACAGTACCAAATCAAATTTAAAAGCCAGGTGTAGTTATAAGTAATCAAGTAATTTCTCTTTTTATAGTTACACTAACAAGCATAGAATCACAGAATGGTTTGGGTTGGAAGGGACCTTAAAGCTCATCTAGTTCCAACCCCCCTGCCACAGGCAGGGACACCTCCCACTAGACCAGGTTGCTCAAAGCCCCATCCAGCCTGGCCTTGGACACTGCCAGGGAGGGGGCAGCCACAGCTTCTCTGGGCAACCTGTGCCAGTGTCTCACCACCCTCACAGTAAAGAACTTCTTCCTAATAGCTAATCTAGATCTCCCCTCTTTCAGTTTGAAACCGCCACCCCTTGTCCTATCACTTGACTTGCTGATCAAGAGTCCCTCCCCATCAACCTTAAACTTGAACTATTATTAGGAAAATGACTTTGAAGCAGAGATTAAAAATGTGATTTATATGTTAATACTAAAATTTAGGTCTGTAAGCCTAGCTGATTTCAAACTACTGATTTTCATATATTTGCCTGATAGTGGGCTTTCGAGGAATTGGGGGTGTGGATTGTGGGTTGATCTGTGTTGAAATTCAAATGAATTTGTTGTAGAGTTGAGCTTGAGTTATGTGCTGAGCACATCAAATAGGAATAGAAGAGGGACATTCTGTGCATTAAAAGAATCTACCTCTTTGTTACATTTAGATCCTGGAAACCTCAAATTTCTTTTGTCCTGTTGTTGTGATATTTAAAGGCCATATACTACTGGGGTTATAAAATCACTTGTATTTTGATGCCTTTCTGTAAGGGTTTGTTCCAAGCTGCTAGGTTTTTTGTTTGTTTTTGTTATGTTCTTTTTTCAAGAAGTCCTTAATGGTGCAATTGTTCTATGAAATAAACTCATTCTATTTCTTTGAAAGGCCTTTAATACAGTTTATGTTGCTGTGTCTATTTCAGACCAGTTGTCAGTGCCAGAAGAGAAGTCAGTATTACTTTTGGATATTGAGTCCGTTATTACTTTTTATTGTAAATCACGCAATGTTAAATACAGTTCTTGCCTCGGCTGGATACATCTACTCAGACCTCTGGTGCACCTTTGTTTGCCACGCAGTGATTTGTACAACTGCTTTTATGCTATCATGAATAAATTCATTCCAAGGTAAAACTCTTTTTTTTCCTGTGTACTATTTTTATTGGCATTAAAAAGTATTTTCTGAAAGGATATGCATGTTAGTTTCAGCTAGAAATAGCACTGTTTGTAGAAAAGTGGTCAGATTCCTTCATGTGACAATACATTAAACCATCTTTCAATACCTGTTGGTTTAAAGTCCAAGAGATGATTGAGTTGGTTTAAGATGTGAAGAGTTAGCATGTGACCAATGTAGACTCAATGTGCCTTTTAAAGAACAACTGTCATTTCATTTCCTGCAATATAGAAAATATTTGTTTAGGAAGCATCTAATTCACATCTTTTATGTGAAAGCATTTTTTCCTTCCTTTCCTAGCATTTTTGATATCTAAAATGCTTCAATCCTTGTCACTTCAAAGTACTTTATAAGCACTAATTGAGTCTCAAAACCTCTTTAGAAGTAGTAGTTGATATTTTTCCTGTATTCTACTGTGTTGGGGCTGAAATTATTTTAAATTGTTAGATTTTATTTTTTAATTAAAAATATGAGAATGCGGCTTTTCATACTGTTATGTAGGTGTTCTCACTAAAATAATTTTTTATTTATGTTGGAGTAGCACCATGACACCCCAGCAATGCTACAGGGTCTTCTGGTTAAGCCTTTGAAATAATACCTGGATAGTCTACAATTAAAGATCTTAGTCTGATTCTCTGGAGAGGAGATTCCAGCCCAGCTACTGGATGTGTACCTGTAATATGAAAAGTGTGTGTTTGGTGTTGTGGCAGGAAACATTTGTTGGTCCTGTCACTTGACTCAGCTTGTGTTTGTTTCTGATTTAAAATACTGTTGGGCCTTACAAACTGTTTGGGGATAGTGGCATCATGGTCACATAACTCATGTAGTTGCAGCCATAGGAAGCTTTCAGGGTGTCTAGTATTTGAATTTCTCTGTAAGGATCTAGGTGGTGTTTCAATGAGATGCAGACTGTTTTCTCTTCCCACACACACACACACACAGAGACAGACAGACATGAAAACGCACACACACCCCCCAATGGGAGAATGAAAGGCATAGAAAGGCAATTTATAGTAGACTTCTAAATTCTGATTGGGTCTATTTGGTCTCAATTTGGCTTTTGACTGCTGGACCATGATTACTATTTGATAAAAGTTTAATTTTTAACTTTTTGCTAATTTTGTTTTTTAAATCGTACACTTTTTATTCACATTTTATTATGTTTTGTAACTATCATGAAATATTTATTGGGCATTTGTTCCAAGAAAATCTTGACTACAAGAATGCTAATGTACAGCATAATCTGTTGGACCATATTGTATCTTGGATTTTTTTTTTTTTGAAAGAGCAAGCCAAAGGAGGAATAAGGAAAAAAAAAAATATAGGCTGTTTTAGATGAGGGAAGTTTTCCTATTTTTTGCTTGGAAACACTGTTACTCTCAAGGCTTTTGGTATACAGTATCCTGTGGATACCTACCTGTCTTTACCTCCTGCCTTTCCCCTAGAATGATGAGTTTTCTGAACTATACAAAATGAACAAACAGTTAATATGGAAGTCTTGTGGCATTAGTATTCTTTGTTTGGGCCATAATTAGAAGAAAACACCATCTTAAAATATGCAGTTGAATAGACAATTATTTGTGTGAGAGCTTGTAAGGTAGTAACCTAACTAAAAAGATGCAAGTGGATAATGGAAGTATGTGTTATCCCAAGGACCATGTGAGAAAAAGTGCATTACATCTGTTTACACTACATCAATGTTACCTCTAACAGAGGATAGAAAATAGCTTCATTTTGGGGGGGTTAAAAAAAAATCCCCCCAAAACAACAACAAGCCACCCTCTCCTAAAGTAAAATGTAGGTTAGTTTTGAGGGCAATTTATTACTGTTTAGCTAAACCTTTTTTTAATTGTTTTTGCCTTGCTTTTGTTTTTTAACAGTCCTTCAAATGACTGGACCTGCTTTTAGCCTGAGAAGTAATGGATAGATATAGGAATTCATAATTTTTTGTTGGGTTTTTTGGGGGTGGTTTTTGTTTGATTCTTGGTTGTTTTGTGTTTTGTTTTTTTTTTAAACTGGTATTTGTTAAGTGTTGATTACTATGATCAGTACCAGAAGTAAAAAATTACTGAGAAAACAATTAAGAAAAATGTCTAAACAAGGTTGTTCCACTGTCAGTAGAAATGTGGAAAAATTCTTTTTAAAGTTATTTTTGAGTATATATCCATTCTTGATGTTAAAAGGTGGTAAAGAATGACTGACTAGAATAATTGACCATATTAACCATTCACAGAAAGTAATTTGCAAGTCTAGATTCTTATGCTAAATTAATGAATAGAACATTTTTCTTCTTTTCACACTTTTTGTCCTGTTAACTTAATGGGAAGTCAGAGTTTGTGTGGCAATTTCAAAAAAGAATCCCCGCGTGTGATTTGCTGTGAATGTTTCCATTTCACCACCATAGACATACCCTTGTTTAAGAAAGTTAGGCTGATAATTGTGTTTGGAGATCTGTATGTCAAGTTTCCTATAAGTTTACTTAAGTTTTTTAACACTTAAGATTTGTTCTTTAATGTCTTTAAACAACTGATTCTTCATTTTAAATATTCTTTTATTTCCTGCTTGATGAATTGACATTTAATTGTTATTCATGTATGAAATAAGCATCTTTTAAGTTTCCTTTGGCTGTCATATTAGAGTGGTGTTTTTTTTTTAAATTCTATTTTTAGTTAACACCACTGATACCATGGTAGCCTTGTTTTTATATGTAAATCTGTTTTAAATATTTATGTATTATATTGGCACTATTACATTCTTTCTTCTGCCTTATTAATATAGTGGGCTTTCGGTGTTTGTGAGGTGTTTTTGTTGTTTTGGTTTTTCTTTCGCTCTTGAGGCAAGTTGACTTCATGATCAGTCCCTGTGAATTAAAAGAACAATAGAGGAAATTACATAATCACAACTAATAAAGAACTGCTACTGTAAGTCTGACAACTGGAATATTACGAGGGGGTTTATGATTATTTTCACTGCTACTTTTTAGGGATTGTTTTATGAAGGGAAGACCATTTCATCTATTTAGACTGCTGCTTCAGTACCATGAGCCTGAACTCTGCTCCTTTCTTGATACTAAGAAGATGACTCCAGACTCATATGCACTCAACTGGGTAATAAAGTGAAAGTAGGGAAACATAATGAAAAATAAATTTCTGTTAAAATTCAAGTAAATGTTGCCAGCTTATAGAAGAGTAGTACAAGAGATTACAACTGCATATATTGAACTAAATCGCATGTTTGGCTTTTTGTGTTCAGTTGTTTAACATAAAGTATGAGATCTTGTTAACATGACATTACTGGATGTTAATTGAGCCACTGGTGTTAGGAGCTACTTGGAATAAGTAAGAATGGGAGAAACTGACATACTCAAAAAGAAACTTGTTAGTTTTTATAGTGAGCAGCTGTATGGTTGTAGATATGGATAAACATCAGCTTAACAGATCTCTTAAAGTCAAATTACTAATAGTTTTAAAAAACTCTGTGCTCATAGATATATTTGACTGCCTCATAAGATGCTATGTCTTTTAGAGTTTAGGCACGTATACTTTACGACTCCAAGAATTGGCTATTTCCTCCTCACCTTAACTTCAATACTGCCTGGAGTTGAGGGCAGTTATAAAGATGCTTTCCTCAATCACTACTTTATGAAGTTTGTGTAGCGGCACTACAACATAAAGCAGCAAAATTGTCATGTTTCAATGCTACTTAGTATATGCAGTACAAAATCATGATGTGTTGCTTGCAGAGGTAAAGTCGTTATGACTTGTGAACTCTTCTAGGCTGTTCTTTCACACCCACTTGCTTTGTAATATTTTTTGTAACTCTATTACTTTCAGTTAAAGAAATAAGACTGAAACAAATTATTAAACTGCAAGGTTTGTATTTATGGTTTTGTTTTTTTTTTAAATTTTTTTAGGCTGCTACCAGTTTTAGTACTAAAATGTGTCCAGGAAGAATTTCCATATTCTCAAAATCTGCCTTTTGCCTGTCATCAGTTTTCAAAAGAGGAATCTTGGGTCTTTTTTTTACTACTGAATCTCCCTTTTTTTGTAATATATATTTTTTCTTAGAAAAATACACACTTCTTTTAAGTCATTTATTAACAGTTTAGTGGTTCATTAGGAAAAAATCTTCCCTTTGAAAGGAGGTAGGGAATTGAGCTAGTGTAGCTGCCAGTCCTGTTGTCATGCTTTCTGGTGTACAATCTTAAGCCTCATTTTATATTATGAGACTACATTAAAATTCCTTGTTTCATTTGTCAAAAAGCTTAGTCTATATAGAGATATTTCTAATGTGTAGAAATACATAAGCAAGATTTGAAAACTTGTCATTGCCTTGTTGTTCGGGGACGTTTCATCTTCAGTTGCATTTGATTCTGAATTGGATAGATCTTCTTACCTTTTGTTATAAAGTTATACTAGGAAGTGTTGAAATATTCTATGATAGTGTTTAAAAACAGATAGTGAGCTTTTGAAAGCTGTAGCTCTGATACAGAATCTGTTTGCATTGCCAAGTTCGGGAAGACCCCAGTGAAGCCAGCTGGTATTTGAGTTATACACAATACATTTGAGTTAGGTGTGATTGCAAATATTATCTGGCATGTATGAAGAGAAGTTCCTAGCTGTTCTTTTATCTGTTTTGAACTTTGCATATCAGAGAGGATGTATTTTTAAATGGGAACAGCAAAGTTTGTTAAATGGTAATGAAAATATTCTGTTGCTTGCGAATGTTTAATTACTCAGCCATAAAGCATCATAATGTAATGTTAAATGACATTGTCAAACTAATGTACAACCATGTTCAATTAGCTTAGTTCTACTGTGAAAAATGGAAAGAATGTTGTTTGCAGAATCCTTTCAAAGTCCTACTTGCTAAGCTAGTTCAGTAAATACATTCTCTTATTACTGTCCTGTTGGTATAATAGGTATTTAGCAGTGACTGTGAGCTAAACAGTATTCCAGCCTGATTGTGTTATCTCTGGTTGAATTTGCAAGGCTGACAATGTACAGCAGAGTTTGCCTTCACACTAGGCGTGTTTATTCAGAGATGACCTGTAGCATTACTGCATTCTTTCCATAAAAATTGTTTCTGAGGATAGAACCATCCTTCAATACGTGGTACAGATGTATGTTTTAACATAATTTTGTTTGGTTTATTTTCTTTTAGATATCTTGTATCTGTTAAAAATGTTATCTTCATAAGATTGTTCCTGGTTATTGCTTTTTCTCACACTTTTTCCAAATTTTTAGCTTGGAAGCCTCTTCTCATATTACTGTTCAGCTGAAGTCACTCAGGCGATATGGGATGGGTATCTACAACAAGCAGATCCATTCTTTATTTATTTCTTGATGTTAATCATCCTTGTCAATGCAAAGTAAGTGTATAGTTAATCCTTTGGAACATGCCTTGCAGACACAGTTTTAATCCACTTTTGTTTCATTTTGGTTTTACTGACTTAATCTATGCCTGTGACTTTACTGTTTTCAGAGACGTTATCTTAGCACAAGAATCAGATAAAGAAGAAATGATAAGTAAGTAATTCTCTTACATAGATGCTAGCAGAATATTTACCATGTAGTATAATCTGACTTTATTATAATTTTTAATTACTAAATAACTGAATTATTTGATTATTTCCCTGTGGTTATCTCACTAATGAATCCCCTCACCCACTAATTCCTTTGCTCTTTTGCTGCATCACATTTGTCCTGTCCTTAACATTCTTTTCTTGCATTTCCTTTTAGCACCCCACACCTAGTTTTATACTTCAGTTTGGAGTACTTGAAACAATCACCATTTCTAAGCCCAAAGCAGCAGCTTTCAAATCCTTCTTTAAATCTACTGCACTTGTATTTTCCAGATTATTATCTTTATATGCACTTGATTTGAGCCTAATTCATTGTTCTTCTTTTACCCACTTTGATTTTTATAGACGTTACACTGACTTTCTTGAGACTGTTTCACCTGCCTTTGTATTTTTTTTTTACATGGCGTAATACAGTATAATTCATCGTCTCCTAGTAGTTAAAAATGAGGGTTCTTGGAATTTTGTGTCTTTGCCATACATTGCAGAACTACACCCTTGTACCATCCAGGACATAAAACAGTATTGCTGATTAAGTATTCTGTTTTAGAGGATTCTCTTGGTCATCCCTCTTCAGAAAAGGCAGCTGACTTAGTACAGCTAACTTACAACTTAGTACAGCTGATTTACAACTGAAAGCTAAAACTGTACAGAGGTAAGAGTGTGGTAAAAAATAATTTGCATAGAAGGTTTGAACTTCTAGCAAATAGCTTAGGTTTCCTATGGATAAGGAGTGTTTCCTGATTCTTTTCTTTCCACCTGGAGAGAGAATCAGCATTCATGTTTAATCAATAAACTCAATTGTTATGCCTTATAAAAAATAAGTTGTTTTATGATGTGAAAAGATGTATGGTGCTTCTTTTCTACGTCTGAAATAATGGTGCACTTATGTTGTTTGTATATCTCAGAATTCTTAGAAACTTCACCAGCCAATCTCAATTTAGAGGATATAGAAGATCTCTTCTCTTTGGCACAATATTACTGTAGCAAAACTCCAGCTTCTTTCAGGAAGGTAATACAAAGTAATTTTGAACTTTTTTTTGGTGACTGACTAAGCTCCTGCTGACCGTAACTTTGAATATTTCAGTGCAGTGTTTTTTTAAACAATTTTTTCATGTTGTTAACTCTGGTTGAAAGATAAGAAGGTTAAGCGAAACATGTTAGAGAGAAGCTTCCCTGCAAAATTTTCACTTCATGGCTGATGACCTTGTTTTGCAAACCACGTTGTGGTAAGAACTGATGAAGCAAAAATGCCATACTGACACAATTGCGCAGCAATCCTAGCTGTATTTGCAACACCAAACAGGAAAAAATCACTTACCAGAGATAAAGCTGTCATCACCTGCACTGTTGTTGCAGTTCTTCCTTACTCAAGATATCTGACTTCAGTGAATTCATGAAACAAAAGTAACTGATAGTCATTGCCTTTGGCTTGGTACTTTTTCCGATGTGTGTAGGCAGGTAATGTGAGAGGGTTTTTTGGGGGCAGGGGGGAAACCCACCACAACCAAAAAAACCCCCAAAAACCACGGATATCTCATCATGTTGGCATGATCAGAGTGGTGAACAAGTGTGTTTGTAATGGAAGTTCAGGCCTTAGCATGATTCTCAGAAAGAATTTCAGTTCATCAAACATTTCTTAACTATACGGACAAGATACCTGTGTAGTGGCCTTAAAGTTTGTGACATGGTAGATATAGTTTTGCTTTAAGCCTTAAGCCTTCACATGTAAAGATGATGGATTTAGTTAACTTTTTTTCCTTCTTGCCTTATTAGGACAACCACAGTCTTTTTGGCAGCAGCTTGCTGGGCCTCAAAGATGATGACACAGACTTGAGCCAGGCTCTCTGTCTAGCAGTTTCTGTGTCTGAGATTCTTCAAGCAAATCAGCAACAAGGAGTCAGTATACTGCATTACTCTTCCCCTCCCTGCCCCCAGCCCTTCTCTTGTCTAGAAAAGGAAGAGAGTCACTTAGTACTTTGTGTATCACAAATATTTTTAAGTGCGAACAAGACACTATTTCACTATTTCAGGAAAAAGTATTCTTGTCTTGAAGTTTTTTCCCTTGTAAATGATCTCCTGACTGCAATGCATTTGTGCTGTACCAACTAGAGATACAGTGCAGGGGAGCTTAATACAGCTGATTTGAATCTGAGTAGTGGGAGCTTAAAGTGATATGTCACTAATTTGAATTCCTTTCCAAATGGAGGTATTGTAGAGGAAAATTTAAAACCCACTACTCAGTACCTTTGAGAAGAATGCCATTATGAAATATCTGTCTTTTGTCAGTGAAAGGTTTAAACAAAAAAGAAAATTGATTCAAGCTATTTCTGTGGTAGTTAATTGCAGACGTACTTATATGCAGGGTCTTCACTTAGAGTATTTAAGACCAATATATGGATATCAGTGTAGCTAAGTTACAGTGTTTCTTACCGATTACTGGCTTTCTGTAGCAGTTTCCAGGCCCCAGTTTCATCCTGCATACTGTTGTGGCTTTTTTTTCCCCCTAGTCCAAGTAAAGTTAAGCGTCTGTGTATATCCTGTTGAAGTTGGTGGGATATAAAGCTATCCTTATGTGCTGTGCTGAGTAATAATGAACTGTTGGATTGGGACTTCAGAGTTCTCCCTTCCAATGTCTTGCTGATGTGTGGCCTCACACGCACTGTATTTCCTCTCAATAGAGGTGAAATTACACTGTGTATATTGCACTTGGGAAATCACTGTTAGAATACTGTTAGTGGTCTGGTAACTGTAGAAGTTCAGATAAGTCAAATGAAACAATATTTTCCAATAGCTCTTAGCCGCTTTGAGGGGTTCCTGTAGTATCAGAATTAGTATTAAAATGTAATTGAATTATGTTCTTTCCCATCAATGATTATGCAATTTTAAAATTTTGTAACAGGCAAAATCTCTATCTTTCAGGATGGAGTAAGGTTCTTTGTAGTGGATTGTCGTCCTGCAGAGCAATACAATGCTGGGCATTTGTCAACAGCATTCCATTTAGACTCGGATTTGGTTTGTATGCTTTTTGCTTCTTTATTGATTTTTTTCTTTTTTTTTTTTTTGAATCCTAAGTTAAATAGGAGAGAGAAATGTCTGTCTTGTTGTAACGGGTCTG